CTAAATGCTTTCTTTAACCTTTTGGAAGGGATAGTGCTAAATGCACTCTATAAGAAGAAATAAACGCCATATTGCTCTATTCTTTTCTTTCTTCCTTCCCAAATTACAAAAATTTAATTTTTTGGCTTATACCTCACGTCGTTAAATATTATTTTAAGGGTATTAAAAAACAGTAAAACCTACTTCTAAATGGCAATTTTCTTTAAAAAATTTGGAGTCGTTTTTATGAAAATGGCGTTTAAGCTCTACTGTAAATCCGAAATTTGAAGTTCCTTTTCACAGAAATCGTTTGAGTTTTTGAAAAACTTTATTGTAAGTTATTTTAAACACCTTAACTTGCAAATGCAATAGTGTTTACAAAGCGCGGGAAAAGTGCAAATGAACTACGTTTGTTTTTCAAATACTACACAAATGTAATGTTTTTAAATATCTCTCACGCCTTTAATACGCACATACTTAGCAATTTGTAAACACTATTGCATTGTGACTAGAAGCGCTTGAAATGACTTTATATGAAGTTTTTCGAAAACTCAATAGTTTTCTGTTGAAATAAGTTCAAATTTCGCATTCACAGTAATGCTAAAATACCATTTTCTTAATAAAGGCTATACATTTTTCAATGAAAATTTCCATATGTATTATTAATGTTCTTAAAGTAATAATTCGAATCTACTATTAGGAAACCGAAAAATTGAGAAAAAAAGATACTTTGAGTAGTGATAGATGGCAGCTGGTAAGAGAATATGGTATGTCCGAATAGCTAGCCGAACCCAAAGGAAATAGAAAACGTATACGGGAAAGTCTGTGCCATTCTGTAGCACTACTTTGTATTTGATTTTCTCTATGTAATTTGAAGTTACTTTTATACATTTTTAAACAATTTATTAACTTTTCGTCTTAATTTGGAAATGCAAGGATAGGGAAGAGGAAGGGGCTTATTTTGTCTTTTGATGACAGACTACTAATTCCGAACGCGTCAACTACAGAGGTCATTAGTTTCCCTTATGTTAGTAAGTGTTTTTTAAACGTGAATATATTGTTTACAAATAAGATTACATTAATTTAAATAAACAAGACGCCCGAAACATTCCAAAAAGCGTATTCAAAATGTCTTTACATCTGGCGTGCCACAACTAAAGCTGGCTTCTTTGAGAGGAAAAACGACACGGTACCAGGGGATTGTGTGAGAGACCTTAACTTTGCATAACCATAAATATTGTGTTTATCTCTTCAATCTTAATAAGAAAACTAGAAGCACTTGAGTCTTATACGGAACGAGGGAGAGACGAAGTTAAATAACTTCAGGCGGCGACAGAAATATGTTCGAAGTCTGCTTAAAGAATTCCACAAAAAACTACGAAAGAAATCTCTCTTTCATAATATGCAAATTCAATGTAGACCTCCTAGTCCTCCATTATCAGGGGAAGAGATATGATGAAGTTCGAATAGTTTCTCTTTTGCAAATTTTCCCAGTCATGGTGGTAAAAAGAAGACATTATAAGTGATGAATTTCTCTCTCGTGCAAAATATCAATGAAGTGGCACATAATGATGCATTGTAATACATTTTTGTGACGAATCCCTTAAAGCATCATCCACGGTTGAAGCGATATAACTTCATAACTGTAACGTTTACAATCTTTCCTGGCTTGTATTCATTTTATCTTTTCATATCCACTCACGACAGGATCTTGTCAATGAAAGGAAAGAGTTCGTTCAGTTTTCTATGTACCTGGCACCACACCAAGACAGACAGATGACATGAGTACAAAAGAAAAGAAATGGTACAAACGAAAAGAAATGGGGCGAAGTGAAAGAGCCAAAGGCGAGGCACAAAACAACCTTGGGTAGCTCAGGGATCAATTGATGTCCCTGCAGTGTCTCTGACCTGGAGATCCAAGGGTAGAGGTCCCGCCTGACACAATTTTCAACACTAGCGAGATATGTCGAATTCAGCCGCTGCAGCGTCGACGAAAGGGCGCCACCTTGAGGAGAATTCTTTCTGCGGCTGACTGCTTTTTTCGGCAGTTTTCTGCGGTTTCTCCTATCAACACCAGGCGAATGGCGGAGCGGTGCCCTAACAAACGTGTCACGGATAGGGATGGCAAAAAAATCCATGCTTTTAAAATAGCGACATTTTCCACCAGAAATATTGTATACCAGATTATTAACATCAACGATTTGTTTTCAATGTTTTCTTCACATCTATGTATTTTTTCAGAAATCAATGTTATACTTTTCGATGATTTTATGTATGATAAATTTGTTAAACTGCACTTTGAACTTTGTATATAATATTGATTAGAAAATAAAGTGTGTCTCTACGACAGAGTGCTTTAAGGCTTTGACTCTACGACAGAGTGCTTTATACCAATATTTACGTGTTAATATATTATGTATTAGATACAGGACGTTTTACTTCGATGATTTATGAATGGAAGTGAATAAATGGAATAATAGCAAAACACAATGTCCTTTATTTTTTATTTCCTTCTCTACATTCGATAAACATTATTATTCATAGATTAGTTATACGTGACCAAACAATAAATGTACCGGTATATCATTTAAATATTGGATTTAAAAAATGCGAACAGAATGGAAAAATACCATCTTCGTATTTCAAACCATCGATATTTTAAACCTTTTTTTTGTCGATTTTATTAACATTGAAAACCTGTTTGTGATGTATCGATGTTTTGATAAAATTTGCTATCAACTAGTCACGGACCTTCGCGCGCGATCTTTTCTTCCTCTTCTTTCACATATCCTCACCCCCTTATTTACACCCACTTCATGCACTACACAAGTCGCAATACCGGTCGGGAGCTCAGAGTTTGTCTCGGCTGAGACGCCGCCTTGAGAGATACCTGATTAGGGAAACCTCACAAGCCGATGTGCAAGTAGGAGAACTACCATCTCCTTAATTGACCTTAGCAATTGATGCCGGAAGCACTAACCAATCAGTTAATCAAGCGAAGTACCAAAAACTTTCTTGCTTTCTAGTAATGAGAGATGCCTGTGATAAAATCATCATTACTTGTCTCATTGCACTTCTTGAAAAGTAACGTGTGGAGGTGTCAAAAATTTGTAAAAGGCATCACGATGATAACAAACACATTTCATCTAAATATTTAAAACTATTTATCACCTATTTAAAAATTATTAAAAGTAACTGCGTAAATATTTAGCGATTTTCCAATTCTCTTTGCAAGAAACTGCATTTTTAAAATACAAGTCTTCTATAGTTTGGTTATAGGGAGATTGGATTGTGGATTTTTAAAAATATTTTCACTCGGTTTCTGGTACTTCGCTCATTTATAAAAGGAAATAGAAAGTGATTTTGTAAGACAATTTTTTTAAAGAAAGTTACTTACATTCACTTAAAGGATCGTCACTTAAGGCAGAACGATTTTCACACTGAATCTATATTCTCTAAGAATTTGTAGACGGTTTCTTGGTCGGTGTTTCAGATGGTAGATTTATGTTGCATAAAATAATTTGTTTGCACGATAATTTAAGTCTTATTTGTTACGTCTCAATACCTCAAAACATTTAGAGAAAATGTGCCTTAAAATGTAAGTTGTACTTCCTTAGTCAACTTGTTTCAATTAGTTTAAAGGTATGGACATCGTTTGACAGGGTAAAGCTAAAGGTCAGAGAGAAATGATGATAACTATCCTTTTGATCGACTTGCTGCCTTAGAAGGCAGAGTTATTGACAGGTAAAGTAATGAGAAATAACAATTCAATGGGTGTTGTGTGTACAGAATACATAGTCCCTATGTGGTTTCATTCTTGATGTAATTTCACAGATGAGTAATTTTTAGATACTTTAGGAGAATATGAGAATTTTGTGCTGGAAATAATCATTGCGCATATGAGCTCCAAACGGTGCTTTCTCACACTTCCCACCACTTAAAAAGGTGTCATTGATTATTTAAAGTATTTTCGGATCCACAACAATCAATAAAACAACATAATTAAATGAAATTCTCAATTTTGTCATAATAGTTCTAAATAATGTTGTATAAATACTGTTGTAAAATGTGCTAATGTTCTTTTGTTTATAGATTTATGAAAAATTCAGCGGAAAGTACCAATGGATGACTTCTTTCTTGTACTTCATTATATATTGTAAATATCTCTTTATAATATTTACTGAATCTTCTAGGAAAAAAAATTTAAATATTCGTTGAATAACGCAAAAAAATGAAAATTAACTCATTATTCTCAACATCTTGGATCCTGTTTACGTTACACGAATTGCAGATCCTTCCTCCCCCTCCACTCTTATCGTTTAAAGGTTTGGCAAAGGAAGAAACACGGAAGTTGTTGGATCGACTACTGATGATAAAGAAATCATCCCAGAAGACCACTAACAATTATTATATTTAGTACCATTTAAAGGAATGTTAAAAGTTCAAGATTGGTTTTAAGATGCAACCACGCGGAATGTATGAAAAGTTCTAAATCAAATAAATTGATAATAAATGTTGAACCATACGTCCTATAAATAAAGAAATTGAACTTCTATATTTATCTTTTTCTAGTAGTAGTTTTAGAAATTTTAAATTAAATATTTGATGTTAAGACTTTAACTTTATTTCTGACAGGTAATAAACATTTTCGTTCTATACATTTTTCGAAACTTGACCACGGAGGTACAGAAAAAAAACTATTAAATATGTACTAATTATTGGAAATGTCACTATGTACAAGTACACACGTTATTTTTTAAATAAAGGGGTATAAAGGTTCAAACCATTATCTCCCCACTTGAGCAGGAAGACACTGAACAAAATATCAATGAACATCTATCGTTTGTTATTGGTGGTTAGTTGTCCTTAAAAATAAAATAAATCGAATATTAATGTGGTTTTATAATGCGAACCACGTTAGATTCACGAAAATATCCGAGTTGAACAGAAATTGTAGTTCTCTTCTGATAAATCTCAACATAGTTTTCAACAACAAGTTTATTCAATTGAAATAATGTCAGTATACAAAGCAAAGTTGGCGAACAATCAGAAGAAGAAACTTGGAGTCGCTGTCCCAGTAACTTGCCCCGTCGCCGAAGAACCAGAAGTTCGTTTGAATTGCCCGCGCATGCTCACTCGCCACACCAACCTTGGACTCGGTACAGGTAGACTATAGCTGAGGATGCTTCACTGAATTCCCTCTGCTCTCTGCTGAATGCGTGGTCTTCCGTAGGTGCAAGACCTGCATTCCTTGTTGGGATGCCCACCCGGTTTTTGTGTTTGTCGATTGTAGTGTTCAATTCTTCAAAACATGGCTCATGCCGTGTTTACGCTAGTAGTAAATATTAATTTATTAAATTAGAGAGTTTTAGTCTGGTGCTGAGGCTGGGGGTTCAATCATTAAAAATAGATAGCAGATCTTTGATGATGAAGCAAGTCAGTTGGCATTCTTTTGTTTTTAATCGCGGTGGCTAATTAGCACATCTCTCGTATAATTGAAAAGTGGATAAGTCAAATACGCTATCAAATTTGCAGTTGCCTTATTGTAAACTTTTTGATGAATTGGTGTGAGATTGTTTTTTGTTTTAAAAAGTTCAAGATGAATGTGGGGTTTGAGATTGTAAGGAAATATTTTTCTGACACAAGAAGATTTTTTTAATTTGCTTTTGATACTGTAGCCCATATCTCATAGCCATAAATTGTTATACTTTTAACTACAGCTTTGTTAGCATGTAACTTGGATTTGTTTCTTAGTTCCCCTGATCTAAAAAGGGATAACAGGCGTGTTATTCTCTGGAACATAATGGATCTTAATGATTTGATGGGATCCCATCGGAGGCGCGTGTCCATTGTTATACCTAGTTATTTGATGGTTTTCCTTCATTTGATAACGTCATTGTTTATTTGGAGAACAGAAGCTTGTTTAGTATGCCAGTTTTTCAGGGAAAAAATTGTTGCTTGGCATTTACTTACATTTAAACTAAGTCCGATTCTTGACTTCCATTTCAAAAATAGTGATACAGCATTCTGATATCTTGTCAGTTGAACCTTCAGTGCGGGAACTTTAACTGTGATAGCTATATCATCAGCAAAAAGAAACAGCTTCGTGTTTGAGGTTTGAGGTAAGTCATCGATGAAGATGGAAAAGAGATGTGACAAGAGAACACTGCCTTAGGAAACACCAGCCTCAATTGGCCTGAGAGATGGCATGTGTGATTCGTATCTGGTTTAAAAGGTTCGATTTGTTGCGTGAACTTTGACGCAACGCGTCTCCAAGCCCCTTGGGGCGCGTTGGGCGCTTTCGGAGTAATCCTCCATTAACTATTGCGCGGGAGTAATCCTCCATTAATTAACAGTCTCGTCTCAGCCAGTTGTCAGGAGGACCGCCAGATAGCATCTCCGCGTACGCGTCTCTCTCTTACGCGCTCCTGCGTCACTACCCAGCGGCCAGAATTGGGAAGGAATAAAGATAAGGTGAGGATGAAGCTCTAGCAACAGTTCTAGTATCTCAAAATCTCACTTTTTGAAGTAAAATTTTTTTAAAACCCTTTAATTATAAAAATATTGTATCAAACAGATGATTGCAACTTCCAAAGTATGATAGTTTGTGACATAAAATGATTTTTCTTATTGTATTCTAAACAATAAGATAATCTAAACAATATTCTTAAAATATTGTTTAGATTATCTTATTGTACTCACACTCATTGTACATACATTTTTTCTTCCTCCCTTTTTTTTAAGGGTCAAATATTCCGTTTTTCTTTTACTAGTATTTATAAATCTGTATTTTATGAAAATAAAGTATTTTTTGATTTATAAAATGCATGAATAAGCAAAATAAATATGTTTTTTAATTCCTCTGAATAATTAAATATGAAATCATACACATTTTTCATTTTGCTGTACAGATCTTGCGCAACTAAAGGGATTCTGGCAGGTTGCCAAAAATACTGCGCCCTGGATGTGCACATTTATTAAAAACTTGCGTTGTTTCCACAGAAACGAGTAAACATTCGCATTAATTTCCCCTACTCCGAACCTGTTCATTTCTAACTTTCCAAGAATCAATTCTCCTTGTTTACGTTACCTTGACAACGACTGCAGTCAGATACCACACCCTACCAAGAATGAAAAGTGTACGTCTCCGTATCTACTGTCGCATTCAGTCGGCAGATGGCTCTAGGCAAGGTGTTTTGGGAAAGCTGAGGATGACTGGGTGATGAGAGGTAAGGTTTTCGTGCTGTTACGTATAGAGGTAATTTCATATAGGAAATGTTTACTGTTATCTTTCTTTTCCAGAGAAATCCCTTGAAAAAAACTGGTTCTATATTCAAAATAATTAATTTCAAATGAACAAAAGAAAATGTAGTCACCCACGATGTATATTAAAATTGCAAGTATTATAAATATCAAACAAAATATGACTTACAAGGTATTTTGAATTCAGCTTCCAAATAACATTCTTCAAACGTATGTATACATGGAAAACAATCTTAATTTTATAAATAAGCTATAATCATTGTATTAAAACAAAGATTGCTCTTATTGTAATTTTCTAATGTTTCGATTTAAAAAGAGTATTTGCGGACGGCCACAGATTTTACTCAAATAGTTGATTGCAAGATGTGCAATTCGAATATTGAATAGCATTTTTTTATAAATATATAATTACAGCCGTTTTATTTAATTCTCGTTATTACAATGTTATTTATCTTCTTTTGATTCGGAGTTACTGTAACACCATGCAGTATGCAGCTTTCATTCCCTGTCGTTTATTAACTTACACCGTAGTTGAAGTGTGAGTAAAAGGTTTCAACGACTGTTTTGGACATATGATGACAACAAATTTCGGATGTAGTGTAATAGAAACTATTTGCAACGCCAAACTAGCTTAAGATTTTATTTCATTTCATAGACTTTTGTGCAAATAACCAACGTCTCCCCCCCCCCAATTTATCACGCATTCAGCGAAACGAGAGTTTACGAAAACACGCACGGATTATACGAGTACATTACTTAAATATTACGGTTTTCTAGAAATACTCATTCAAGTGTGAATTGGACTATAGTAACATTTCGTGATTTGTTTTTGTGGTGTCTATGTGGAACTAGTCCACAATTTCAATCAGGGATGATAAATTATTTAAAACTATTAATTTATTAGTCTTTATATATGTTTATTGTAGTAATTGCTAAGCTTTAGGATTTAGAAATAATTGAGTTTATTCGTTGCAATGTATCTTAAAAATTTTAATTTAAATATAAAAGTGTCAGTATTTATTTGTACTCAGTATGGAGCTATTCGCTTCAAGTTTGTATGATTGTAAATATTTTGTAATCTTATAGACGAATGTCGGGAGATGGCGTTTTTACTAAGAAATTATTACAAATTATAAAATTAAATGGTTTTAACTTAACTACTCACTCTTTAAAAAATGTATCAAGTTGTCAACTTCATTTTGTAACAATATGATACATTATTTACTAGCACTGTATTGCGTTACCAACCAAACCTAAAAAATAAAATGAAGCTTCACCTTTCATCAATTCATAACATGTGTTGGAGATTGTGATAAAGTACATTTCTTTGCATACTTATACACGCACAGACAATACCTCAAATGCGGTATCTACTTCATTATTTCAACTTCAAATTTCGCACGGAGTGACGTGTGTCGTCACTGCGCGGGGCGCGCTATCTCGCGTCGATTTCGTAACTTGCGCGCGAAAATAGCTCCCGAGGCAGCGGAGAGACAAGCGAATGGCGGCCAAGGTGAGACCGCCCCAGCGACCACCATCCGCGCCCGGCCATCGCTCGCTCTTAGCCCCACTCCGCCCCGCCCCGCCCCGCCCTGCCCCGCCACGCCTCGCGGCGAAGATCGATAACACGGAAGCACAGAGGGGAAAATGTCCAGTCCGCGTACGGACCCAGGGCGTTGCGCTCGCGTGCGCGCTTGCTTCAGACGATGCGCGGACGAGCACGTGCGGGCCGCCATGAGGTGACCACAGCGACGCGACGATCTAGTGGGACAGAAGAGAGGGGGCAGTTTGTTGGCTCGCGTTCATCCTTTTTATAGCGAGAATAAGTAGGTCCGTTCATGAGAAACTATTGACAGCATTTGTTATTAACCGAAGTGCAGTGCCATTGAGAAGATTTGTATGTCGAATGAAGTTTTCGAACGAGATAAGGATGTTGCGAACTTGGAAGGTGAGTATTGAATGTGATTGCGTCGTGTGTGAATAGGCGTAAGGTTCCAAAAGATGCGTTTGTTTCAGAATTGAATATTTGTGATATATTCTCTTAGTGTCAAGGTATGACACTTTTCTCGTCAGTGGCATTATTTCTTGAAGCGCTAAATCACGCCAACCGCACCAACAGCTCATGACATCTGAGAAGGGAGATGGTCGGAAACCCCTATAGGTATAGGGCAGCCCTTCGCCAGCTCGACAACAGACACGCTACTGCAGGTGAGGTGTATGTAGTATATACTACCGGCCATCAGCTGAACGACCTCCCAAGTTCGAACCGTGAGCAACTTGAGTTTGTTGACATTTCACAGATTATTGATATCCTTTCTCTGAGATTATTTTATCTGACGTGCGTGTATGATGTACGAATCTATTCGAAAGTAATTATACTCTTCCAAAGAAGCCCTTCCTTGTAAAAAGTTGAGCTTGATGAGTGACGGTAACCACGGGTCGCCTACTTTCATTACTAATAAAATATTGTTGAATTTCAGTTAATTTACGTTTTCTACGGGAAACGAATTTTAAAAATAGTACAAAAATAATTTAAAATTAAAATTAGTCATTCGTGTAGTTGTATTTCATTAGCAAACATTACTATTGTATTTAACGCTTTAATTACTGTGTATAACTATTCTGTTCATCGATTTAACTATACACAAATTTGAGCTTGAAAATCAATGCTATGGAATTGAAAAAAAAAAAACAATGTCTCTACCAGCCGCCTAGTGCAGTTTACTTGTAATCATCAGTAATGATTACAACAGGATTGCATCCATAACGTCTACCAAATTAATTTTGAATCAGAATGTCACAACACTCAACTGTGGTAAAAAGATATTTTCGTGTGAGGTTTCATAAGGTTTTTTTTATCGACACTGGCGTAGACACCTATATTTTGAAATTAATTTTGTCTGCATCAATGTGTAAAATAATTGTGTATTTATTTTCTGTTATGTGTATTATTATTATTAGTTAATTATTTTAATATTATTATTTTATTGTTTTATTATTATTTTATTATAATTATTCGTATTAGTATTGTTCTATTCATTGTCTTTCTCTCATAAAAGTATTTTAAATATGTTTGTTATCCCTCTAGTATTTTTAATGCAAATAGACAATCTAAGATTATTTATGCATCTCGAAAAGATATATCGCATTAATTTCGAATAAAACTGTTGCTACTGTGGCTAGAATATTACATCTAGAGCGAATTACAGAATGCCGCAAATCTAACTGAAAGAAGTCTGTAGAGAAAGCTCGATGTCAATAATTCTTTTTAAGATTGTCAGGATGAAAGAAAGTTTGTGTTGTCTTATCTGCATTGGAACTTTCATTATACTATATTATTGCTTAGATATGCGTACATTTACAAATATCACTTGATTGTCCGAGTTGATTCAAGGTCTGTGTTATGAAATACCCGCTCTGATACAACCTCTGTGAAACGATGTTGAAATGCAGATTCCTCATTTACATTATCGACAATATTTTTCATGAGTTCAGGGGTTTATGAGAGTTCATGTATTCACTATTATCGCAGGCTAGTGATAGGGAAAATGCAATTATGATACCTCGGTAAGCAGCAAACGTCCATTCGTCTAAAGTCACTTCCAATTTGTTAGAAAATTTGCGTTTTCGAGACCACAATGTAAATAATTTTATGTAAATTATGTATTAAACGAAACCACAATGCTAAAAACTTAGCACAATACAAATATGCACTTATATGATGGCTTTTTTATAAAAGGGTATATAATTATGATGGGTAGTATGATTTAATAATAAAAGGATTACATAAGTTTCACTTCAAAAACTAAAGTTTGCGAAACACTGTCGAAAATATTTACATAGAAGTCGAAATATTAAAATTCATAGAATTTTCGTTCGAATTCTGAGAATTTGTTTTCATGTCGCGTATTAACACTTGCATGAACAGATTTACTGCAGTGTTTTGTAATTTCAAAAATGATGTCATTTACTTTTCCAATTGTTAATATAATTTCCTGCCATGACATTTGAACTTATTTTATGCTAATCATGTATTTTTGAGCAACTTACGGGATTGTTTTACCTATGCAGATCTTGGTCCTATAAAGAAATTCTAGGATGGGAGATAGGTGGGTAAGTGGGATTACAAGCATTTGAAGGAAGACGTATAACATCGGGGTGTGTTAAGCTGGCACAACCACTACAGCACATTGACATCAAACCAAAGGGGCTATTTCGTACTTATTTATTACTAATTTTAGCCAAAAATTAAATGTATTACTCTTGCCGTTTATAAAATAAATATGGTTGTGCTGGCGTGACTGTCAAGCTGGCACAAACTAATTTTAAAAATGAGCAAAATCAATTAAACTAAACCGAATATATAGTGCTCATTTATTACGACTTTTTAACGGAATACATTTAGTTAAAAACGGCATAGTTATGCAACCACGCATGACATTCGAGAAATATAATGAGTACGAACGGGAGCAATCAAATGCAACCAAATATATAATTAAATACACATTCAATTCTAATTTATTACCCAAAACTTAAATTTATTACTGACGTTTGTTAAATATTGTTTGTCGTGTTATTAAATATTTGGTTAAAAACGGAACCATACCCAAATGCAGGTATATAATAGAGCAGTACGAAACGAAGCAGAATAAATAAACCAAGTAGATAGTTTTTATTTCATTGGTACCTATTATTAATATGATATTTTATATATATAATTATATAATATAATTATATATATATATAATATATATATATATAGAATATCATGGCCAACATAACAGCATCTGCATGTAATAAAAGATAGCAGTAAATTTTATTGTTAGGGCAAAAACTTGTAGTGTACGGAACATATTTAAAGTTCGCCGCGCGCACGCCGTGGGCAGTGCGAGAAACTCGCTCCAACAATCCCGAGGCAGGAGAGCGAGGCTCGGCTAAAGACTCTGTGCAAACAAAAACATACGCATGGCGTTAACATAAAAGTTAGGACTACGTCCGTAACGAACTAATTCGCATACGCATATCACGTAAGCCGTTAACTTAAAAGCTTGCAAGCTTCTGTGCTTGTCTATGCTTCGTCGTTAAGCGTCTATGCTTAAGTGAGACGTAAGAAATGAACCAATCACAGTACGGTAACTCAAAATCGAGAATCGAAATAGGAGAGAAGTCGATAGACGATCTAACGCCGTATGAGTCATGGGACGCAGTCGATACCTCGTAACGTAACAAGTCTCGCCACGTAAAATAAGGCAAATTCAATTCAATTCAATACCTCGAACTCGATTCTCTTATCCAACCAGAAGTAAACTAGAATGTCTCACAGCAAATTGAAACTCTTTATTTGCTTACGTTTATGTTAGACATTGTGAATATCACTTGTGTTAATGTTTACGTCTTTGCGTTATGCTTATGTTTACATTTGTATTCTGATAAGTGGCGCCAGGAGATCCGCCGGGACAGAGGCCGCAGGGTCGCCGTGACAGAAGCGACGGGGAAGAACCCGGTGATTGGACGACGGATTTTCAGGAAATAAGTGGATTTTCTGTGTTGTATAACTTTTAACTCGAATATCTAGGCGTCCAAAGGAGTTAGATCTGGAGAATGTGCAGGAAACTGACAAACCTCATGTCCCCTCCAGGGCCCTGAAATGTTGTCATCAAGGTACTCGCATTTCGGTGGTATGTGGCGGTGCGTCATCCTGTTGAAACTAAAATTCCTCATTTCCAAAGAGTGGCGGGTAAGACATGTGCGCATACTGTCCAGATACACTTCGCCAGTTACAGTTCCTTCAAAATGAATGGATAAGATTAAATCGAAAGAATGCAGGGGAAACTCAATCGGACATTTTCGTCACATTCGTCACAAGTTCCCTGGAAGATTGTCATAATTGTCAAGATGGTCAGAGAGTGCACCGCCACATTACCTCCAAGATGTGCATTCTTACCTTGATGACAATATTCAATGGCACTGGAAAAGACGAAGAGGCCCGATAGAGTTTCCAGCGCATTCTCCAGATCTAACTGCGTTGGACTTCTACTTATGGAGGAGTCTGTAAGAATTATGTAAACGGTAGAAAACCACTTACACTATCAGCACTTTGGAAATAAATTGACAGGTATGTGTTGCAATGTTGGCCATTTGGAGCATCTATTGTAGTAATTGTACTAGTAAGAGTACAAGATGGTCAATGGTAATCATACAGAGCTTGATTTCTAAAAAATTTTGGTACCAAAATTTTAGGTGACAAATTGATTAATTTAATATACATTTTTATTGTTATTTGTTTATTAATTTATTGATTAACAATTATAAATAACCTTTCAAATAAATGTAAATTCAATTAATGTATATTGTAAATAATTGTTACTTGGGAGAATTATTACTTTTTCGAAAATTTACTCATTTTATTTCGTATATGTTTAAACGTGGTTAAGGTATTTATAAATTAATCATACATTCTGTTCATCTCAATTGGTTTTATTTAACTAAATGTTCATGTATAGTACATTATGTACCGAGAAAATTATAATGAGGATTTTATAAAAGTTTTACTAGCTAGGAAACTACATATTTAGTTGGATCAAATAGATGAAGAATCAGGCCATTAATGTTTAACAAACTGGATACGGTTTCCATTTTTAAAATTGTTCTAAATCTGGTTACAATTAAATTCATTTGCGAGAAACCCTTTCGCACTCGCTGGACAAAATAGCTACTGATTGCATTGCAATTTTAAGTAGGCTGGGTGGCAATGTCTTCAATTATAAATATACTCGTAAGCCTATAATTATTTGTCTCTCATTCAGTTTATATCTGGTAGCAAGCTTTTTCATTTTATTTTCTCCATAATTCAATTGGACATTTATGGGCCAGTGTTTCATTTCTATCACTTTTGCTAAAGTGACAAGGTGTGGATCAAATTCACGAAGCAGTCTTGTTTCAATTGCTTGTTTTAATTCATCTCAAAACTCGATAAGGTTCACAGGGTCGTTGTTGATGTGTCCTTTTTTGTGGAGAGGTATTTCTAAAAATGATGAATTTTTCACTGCTTCTTCGGTCTTAGTATAATAACTACCAGGATTTGATTTTCTGCACTCGAAAAGTGATAGTCATTTTCATTTTACATTCTCGCTACCGCTCACGCACTAGAGATAAATTTACGTATGGCTGCAGGAAAAACCAGCAAATTTCCGGAAAAAACACTCTTATTGCCTGGGCCCTGATAACGAAAAAGTGGATAAATTCAGTGGCTAAATAAAGAAAAAATCCTCCAATACATGGTGAGAACACAATCCAAGTTTTAAGGAACCTTGATACCGAAAAATCAATTGACGGCAAAACGTATGTCTGTCCGTTCATCTGTGAAGGCTAAACTGTTCAGCAGATTTTCTTCTTCAAAAGAGACTTTGGGTTAGTATGAATAAAAGTAAGCAAGTACTCTTTGCCTCCGAGTTTCCGAGATCCTACTCAGTTTCGTATGAATAAATGGGTAAGCAATGCCTTCAGTTCTCTGAGTACTTGCTTCAACTCTGAACGTACTCTCAATGGCGAGCAAATGCTCAGAATTGGTATGAATAAAAGTTAAGCGTTTACTCTCTAAGAGTGAGCACTTTGCTCCAAACTTTTGAGGGACCTTAGTAGCAGACTCACGTTGAACCGTGTGTTTTATGCATATACAGCGGACTAAAAAAATGCAAGATTAGGCGAATTCTCGTGATGTAGACTATTATAAATCTTTGCCGAATCGAAAATGTTGGTACCGATTTTTATTGGCGTTTGCTTTCAGGGCGTTTTCATATTGCATATCATCTATGTTAATGGCCATCGCTCTTTCTACTTGGAATTTTTCGGGGTACTGTTTTTGAAAACTTTGTAATGTTTCGTTTTCGGCCACAGCGTACTTCCGAAAGCTGGCCTCTTTTCAAAAATAATTTTATATTCACTTTAGCATTTCGGTAAAAATTAGCTGGGCGCCTTAAGCGTCTGTTTTTCATTACTGCTATTCATATTCGAATTTAAGAATGAGACAACAAACTATTGCTCTTTATTCGCACAAGATGTGCGCGCGCGCGTAAGCGTATGTAACCTCTTTGTTGCTCAAGAACCCAATTTTTTAAAACTCTTAGCCTGCACTATCACAATTGTTCACAGACGGAGCCAATGCTCGCGAGACAGTGAGTTAATTCTTCGGAGACATACGAATTCATACGAAATGGAGCTTCTGCTCAGTGCCGCGGAGTAGACTGACTTGGCTCTGGAGCAAGTACTAATGAGCAAGTGCTCATTTTTATTCATATGACCCTTTATCCCGTATTTATCTGGCTGATGTCACGACCTTGTGAATTTAAAACTGAAATTTTAATTTTGGGTGATACTTTAAGCCCTTGGGACATTTACAATTATTCAAAAAAAGTGCTCCAACGTTTTTGTTTAAACTTTATTGGATAATATGAAGGACGTTTAAGAGTTGGTTCTCATGTTAGTTGAAAACCCTAATGTTTCGGAAATTGCAAAAGTTGAAACAATTTTTGGCATCTTCCTACGACTGAAATAATAAATATAGAAATTATTTTTCTTCATTGAAATCTGTTTCTTAATGATAGATTTTAAAATAAGGTCATATTCAATTTGTTGAAAATTTGACTATTTTTCGCGTAATTTTGCGTTAAATATAGGTTTTTTTAAATTTAGTTTGAACGTTTTTTTCTCAAAAACGGCACTGTCACAACTCTCTAAGACTCAAATAATTCCACTAAATGCATTCTCCTGGATTTTAATAACTTGAACACTATAAGAGTACAATTGTCACCCCCCCTGTCAGCGTTTTGGACGCAATTACACTCGGAAATATGTTCCTCAACTCCAAAGAAATCCACGTTGTGACAATTTAACTGAGAAACAAATGTATTTTAATAACAATAACTTTGTTCAAAAATTGGCGACCCCGACCGGGATTCGACTCGGCTCTCCTAGTTTACGCCCAGTTACTTCAGCCCCTGAACTATCGAGACGGCCAATATTCTTGAGCAAGTTCACAATTATAAATACACACACACGCATACGCATATGCATACGCATACGCATGCGCATACGCATACACATACACATACACATACACATACACATACACAGAGACTGCCTGACGGAAGAAAGTGTTGCACCCAGAAGGACTATTTTCCAATTTTTATCCCATTTTGGTATACATACATGCTATTAATGTGTGAGTAAATGATTATATTCACTCGAATCTGTATTGTGTCGAAAGCCCACCAGAGGGCAATCGTGATGTCATCTCCCTGCCGTTGCGCAGTTCTATCAGCGAACTGCTGTGAGTCAGACTGAGAAGAACGACGTTTACATACAGTACGAAGCACCTGCGATGCCCTGCAGGCACGTTCGACAGCCTGTTCACCAATTGAGAGCATTTGACAGAGGCGGCATTGTGAGAATGAGGCTGGATGGTAGTGCAAATGTCAGGCAAGTGTCGACCAAGAAACACAATCCCGAGGGAGGTTCGCCAATCAGTGCGGAATCCCATGACATTGCAGGCGCGGATCCAAGGGGAGGAAATGAGAGAAATCCCCCTCCCTAATTATTTTTTTTTAGAAACTATTAATTTTAACTTGTCACGAAGCTTTCAAGCAAAACTATTTTTGGATTATCATTAAAACGAATAAAATCGTATCGCAGCATGAGCTGGGTGTAGGCTACGACGTTTTACAAACTCTGTAAAGTACATATTTGACAAAAACCTTTTGAATTTCCCCTCCCAAAATTCGTCTCTAGATCCGCCCCTGCGTCGGCTCCCGCCATCCGCGAACATGTACTGGTGACTCTACAACATCTGTAAGTTCCCGCACAGTGGCTCGATGACACGCATCTCCGGATTCGGGTCCCACCACCCCATGTGTCAGTTGCCATTGACACCAGAAAACGCGTCGGCGTTTGGATTGGTGCCGGAAGGCATGGACATGGCGTCGCATCATGTTCAGTGATGTGTCCCTTTTTGCCATAATCCCTTGTGCCCATCTTGTTTGATTGTGGCGACGTCAAAGGCAGAGGACACATTCTGCCCAAAATGTGGAGAGACACGCAGGCGTAACCCAGAACATTATGATGTGGGGAGCCATCGGATATGCGTTCAAAGCGTCTCTTAACAGTGCTTCAACTTTGACGGCACAGCGATACGTCACAGACATTCCGCGTCCGCACGTCCTGCCCTTTGTGACAAAGTACCCTGGGACAGTATCCCCACAAGATAATACACGCTCACATACAGCACATGGACATCCTAGGGCATGTTGAGGTCCTCCCGTGGCCAATGAGATAGCCGGACCTCCACAACATTTAACACGCGTAGAATGCTTTTGGAAGGAGACTCCTTCGCAGTACCAATTTACAGGATCTGGAGGATAGCCGCAACAAGTGTGAACGAACTTTCCTCAAGAGAGGGTCCAAAGGCTGTTTGAAACCATTCTGAACCACTTAAGGGCATGCATTGCAGCAAAAGGATGTGCGACAGCCTACTAACCTGGCGCAAACTTTCCACCTGTAACTGCCAACAGCCTTGTCTCTTTTATCTCCTTTTGTAATATGTTCATTAAAATCACTTGGTCTTTCAGCACATGTAGTTTCATTCACTTCCAACCACTCCTGGGAGCATCACTTTTCTTGCCAGTCACACACACACACACACGTGTGTGTGTGTGTGTGCGCGCGCGTGTGTGCGCGTGTGTGCGCGCGCGCGCGTGTGTGTGCGTGCGTGTGCGTGTGTGCGTGTGCGTGCGTGTGCGTGTGCGTGTGTGTGCGTGTGTGTGCGTGTGTGCGCGCGTGTGTGTGCGTGTGTGTGCGTGCGTGCGCGTGCGTGTGTGCGCGTGCGCGTGTGCGTGCGTGCGCGTGTGTGCGTGCGCGCGTGTGTGCGTGTGTGTGCGTGCGTGTGCGTGTGTGTGCGTGCGTGCGTGCGCGTGTTCCGCAATACTAAAGAAATCAAAATGGCGAATACTGTTTCTACGTATTTCGCAACATACCAAAAACTTTCAACAACCTTTAACGTAACCTTTAAAGTAAAATTTAAAAGTTCTCATACTATGCTACGTGCGTCTGCTACGTGCGTCTGATCTCGTAATCCAGATCCCATTGTTCTCTTACTTCTTCATATGAAACAATGTTTTTCCCCATTATCTTTTTTGCGCTTCCCGTTTGGTCTATTTCCATTGCGGCACTTTTAATACTAAAAAGCATACGAGCATGTTCTTGCATTTGCTGCGACGTAACATCATTTTTGACACCTTTTGTTTTCTCAAAGCTTTATTCCCATTGGATTCGCTAGCTGTTCAAAACATGACAAAATATATTTTTATTAAAATACATATTCTTCTCACTAGATTTATAGATTTATTTAATGAAAAAACGATAAAAACTGTATGTGGCGTGTGGGGGAGAAGATATACGCACGTTTTCTTCAGTTCCAGAATCTCTTCCCATCATTTTAACTATCATTTACATTTCAACTATAAATAATTGAAAGATAAGTAAAAGTTTTTTTTTAAGAAAACAAACAAAATAAACAAACAAAACCTGATGGGAAGGGTTTTGTAAATAGATTTCTTTCCTTTTCATGATCATGTTAAAAAATATTGTTTACATTTTTCAATTAATTTATCTTCACATTGTATTCACATTGAATGTGTGTTGCAAATTTCCTGAAAACAAAAAAAAAGTACTTCTTGGACATGGTATGCCTCTTATATCTTTATATATTGTTGCCATTCCTTAATTTTACAATTCACATTTTTTCAGGATGTTTATTGGCTGTCCTCTTTCTGGTTCCCTTCGCTGCCCGTGTTTATCATGTGAACATGACAATTCTTTTGCTCGCTGCCTCTCTGTATGCAGTTGTTGTGGTACCTCTGATAACTGGCTACATTACTTGTGGTAGCATATTTCGAATTGTGAGGTGTGTTTTGAACCAACTCATAATTTGTGTTAAAGAACAATTTATAAGTATTAAATAAAATATATTATCAAGATTATGTAAAGGATAAAGTGTGAAAAATACTGGAGAGTATGTCGCGATAAGACAAGAAAATATTGTCATAAATAAACATTTTTCTTGCCAATGTAATTTTGAAACTCCAGAAAATTCTGAACTTCTTTGAACATTTAATTATTGAATGTTTTTTATATGTTCTTGGATGGTGAGTACTGATTAAATTAATAAAGTAGATGGTAAATTGCTCAAACTTATTTGTTTTCTTTACTTTTGCATATGCATGTATGGTCACTCATACAAGATTTGATAAAAGGAAAGAATTCTTTTGTTTTTGTTACAACATGATTATGCTCTACCATGTATGTAGAAAGAAAGCAATATTTTTATGATGAATGTGTAATTGTGGTTGCAAGGTAAAAGCTCTTTAGTCCTTTACTAAACCTACATGCCTTGAGAAATTTCAAGAACTGGATCATCCTTTATAGTCAAGGACTAGAAAACTAAACTGAAATGATAATCTGACGTTTATGAAAAGAAAGGCAGTTGACAATTACTTGCAGCAAAATGTCAATAATATATTAATTTCAAAGTAGAAATTTGCATTTGATATCATCTCAATAGCAGTGTAGGGTCAGTGCAATTTTAAAATGTTCTTGGAACTCTTTTTCAGAACAAAAATTGTGTGTAAACATATTTGCATATTAAACCCATATGATTGCTCTATTCTTCATTAAATTTACAGTTCGCAGTGTAATTGTTATTGTCACATGTCAACTTAGATTTTGTCCATTTTACAAAAGAGATCGAAAAGAAAGAAAGTAAACAATAAGCCAAAGAATGATCTCTAAATTATGACAAGGAATAATAATATTATACAAAGTAACTTCTACATTCATTATGTTATAACAACCATATTAAAAAAATAATTAAATTCACACAATGTTTTCCATTCTACATGACAGTCTTATGTACTTCATCAACTTAAGATTGTTAAATATTTTCCTTCACTTTTCTCTTCTCTTTCACAGATTTTGTAGATCTTACAATGCTGAAGGCCTGAGACAGTGAATGAGCTTTCAAAAACTTTTTTTTCTTTTTTTCTTTTCCCCTCCAGATTCCTTGTCTTTTATTTTATTAGAAAGATTCCTTTGTAAAATTATTTTATTTAAAATGTATTTGTTGCTTTTTGTGATTAATCTTTAAACATGACATTATTTTCAATTTTACTTTACATCATTGCTTTATACATAAAATTTGATGGAATACTTTTATTTTTATTTTCAGAATGATCAGTTTATCTCTATTTAACCCAAGAACCATCCAGTATGCTTCACTTCAAGTTCTTCTTTTTTTCTTATGGCTTCATGAATTGTATAGTAGCCTGCACACCATTCATACCACAGTAATTCAGGTATAAGCACAATTGTCAGTAGTCATTTACTAAGAGTATCAGTTCACTATGGAAGAATCTGTGTAGGTTATCTACAAAGTTGTGATGATATAATTTAATTGAAATCAATTTAAAAAATAAAATTTTTCTTAACATTTTCCACGCTAATGAAGGAGTTATACAAAGCATCTTCGCATATCCTCAAAAAGGGTACCAGTATGAGTGAATATACATGTAAATGCTTTCAGATTTTACTTTTTATTTCTCAAAAATTGTGCTGTATATAGGTAATTTATTTTGAAATGGATTTCATGAGTAACTATATGATAATGTGATTTCATTTCTCAATTTCATAGGTACTATATTTTCTCGTATCAGAAAAAGCTTTCTGCCCAGAGCAGAAGTGTGTGAGCTTATATGCACTTCTTTTTTGTACTATGTTGGCTTATCTCTATCAGTCCCTTCAGGTAAGAATTTTTTTAAGAAGTTCATATCAAATTGCTTTAGATGCATGACATTACTATGGCGTGTACATACATCTTTCATAACCTTCCTTAGACACGTCGCTGGTCTCAAATAATGTTCACCACTACTACAGCTGATTTCTTGCGTCTGACAACAACATTTATTATTCTTCGACTTGGAAAAGGAGTGGCCATGAGTTTTGTACTTATTACAATTACTCTTCAGTTTGATGACTTAGAACCATGTGCTCCATTTATCATCACCACTACTCTTTATTTTATTATCACACAGTTTTTGAGTAAGTATTCATTGAATTTAAAATTTCTTCTCATGTTGTTTGAATTTGGAATCGTGTGCATTCTGTTCTTCCTGGATTGTTCTGGACAATATTATTCATTGATGAGCTTCTAGGTCTCGGTAAAAAGGTTTTCGTGTTATGCAAACATTAATTAATTAGAATAAAGGTGGATGAAATAGATTGAACAGATATTCATAATACTTCAAAATGAAAATATATTTTTAATGAATGTATTCTTCAAATGAATATTTTTTTTTAATTACAGAAAACCCTAAAGATAATATTTTAGTTACTGCAGTTAGATATATGGATCTGTACATATTTGAAGGCTTAGAAGAATATTGGATACCTCTGTTAATGAACTCCCTAGCAATTCTCTTATCTATCATAAATATAATTATTGCACTTAATCAAGATTCAGGGAATATTGTGCTCTGTATGGTTGTTATGTGAGTATTAGAAAGCTTAAATCGTATGGTGTTTCAACATTTTCTTGATGTTGACCATTGATGTGAAAAATTTTAATTTTGAATACTAGAAAGTACATTGATAAATAAGTAAGACAAAAAGTATTTTAACATTTCTAGATTACTTTCTATTCCAATAATTTTGTTAGTCATATAAAATAACAAAAATAAAAGTTTACTGAACATTTGATTTAACTCTTCTCAGATAAATATGCTTTTATTTTTAAAAATAATCCAAATGTATTATTACATGTCTTTTCCAGGTACACAAATGTAATTATTGCATTTCAACAGCTACAAGAAGAGTGCATCGAGCCATTTAAAGAACAATTAAAGCTCTTAGAACGCTTTCCACTGGCAACTAAAGAACAAATGGCACAAAGAGGAGACACTACGTGTCCTGTTTGTTTGGATGAAATGAATTTTTTAACTGCTCGTATTACTCCATGTCGACATATTTTTCATGGGCAATGTTTACGTCAATGTGTATTACAATATCAGCAATGCCCAATGTGTAAACAATCTCTCTAAATGATTATATTGAATTGTTTGTGAAATTGTTACTGAAAATAAGTGTAATTTTATATTTAAATGTTATTAATACAAGATTCAGCAATAAAGACCCAAAAGGCAATACACAAAAAACTAACCTTCAAATGAATTATTTCATTAGTCAAATCTCCAAAAACATTGCTTCCATTCAATACTTAGGTATGCATTTTTTATATTTTCTTTTCTTAAGGGGTAATTTTAAAAACGAGAGAAAGACTGGAAATTTTTTATTGACTAGAAGTGATACCAAAAACGCATACTTTCTCACATTATTGGAAATAATTATGTATTATTGAAATATTGTAATTTCGTCTTAGTTTTAACAGTCAAATTTAATCAATTCAATCAAAGCCCTGAGGTGCATACCCAAGTTTATTTAGATAGTCAGGAACAGTAGTCATTTCTTACTTTGACAAATAAAACAAATATGAATAAATTTAACTGTCACAGTATTTGCAGCACATAATACAAACTAGTGATGCTATAGAATGGCACACTTTCTTGTGGTAGTTTTCTTATGTCTTTGGACTCTGGACTAGCTTCTCAGTCTGGCCCCATTCTCTTGCCAGCTCCTATCTATTGTCTCCGAAAGTACTTCTTTTCTAAATTTTCTAAATTTTTCGGCTTTTTAGTGCTAGAACTGTTATATTACTTCAAGAATTTTAAAGAAGAGGAAATCCTTATAAGTGGCAATTTTCGTTCAAAAAATTGGAGTCGTTTTTAAGAAAAACACATTTAAGCATCACTGTATATGCTAAATTTGATGCTCATTTTCACAACAAATTTTTGGATTTTCAAAAAATTGAATTTAAAGTTGTTTGAAACACTTAAATTCACAGATGCAAAAATGTTTTCAAATTGCTTGAAATGTGCGTATTAATGAAGTGAGAGATTTTTCAAAGAAATTACATTTGTGTAATTTAAGAAAACGAAAGACTACGTCAAAATGAAATTTATGTCATATTAAATTATTCATTGGAAAAATTTGAAGAAAATATTTGGAGTTTTTTTTTTTTTTGAGAAAATGGCCTTTAAACATTTCTGAAAACAGGATTTTGAGCTCATTTTCACTGTAAGTCTTTCGATTTACGAGATACTTCAGAAGACACCATTTAAAGCACAGGTACTCTTAAATGCAGTAATATGAAAAAATTGCCGCTGATGTAAATATTAACAACATGAAAGATAAGTTTAAAAAAAATACTTTTGTAATTTTTGAAAAAACAAAAGAACAGAGCAAAATGGCATTTATTCTATCTTAGAGTACATTATACAGTACATTTAGCACTATCCATACCAAAAGATTAAAGAAAAAATTTGGAGCAGTTTTTGAAAAAATTTAATTTTTGTTATTTTTTAAAATTGCACACATTGCTGACAAGTTTGAGCAAAAATAACAATTTTGTAAAAAAAAATGTATCTGACCTTATTGAAAGAACAATGGAGAATAAATTTTACTTCAAGGAAAAACCTCTATCTTCAATTTTCCAATAGTAGGAATAAGATGAAAAAAAATTCAAACTTTCGAAAATTTAAAAACTTTAGGGTTAATATTGAAAAACGGATCAATGCCATCTTTTTAAGTGTATTTTGCACTATTGTTTCAAAAAATGCAAAGAAATTTCGTTCATTTTTGAGAAAATTTTGAGTGTCCCAGAGGCTTAATGTAAAGTACTCATATTTTAAAGTATGTTTTTCAAAATCGCGAAGTACCTTGTTGAGCCACATCGACCGGGAAATCTTCATTTTGGAAAAAAATCCTATGTATAGTTTAGGCGCTAGCTGTGTTCACAGACCGACCGAACGGACGTTTTTAGAAACAAACCTTTTCGACACAAGGGCCAACAATGTCAGAAATCTGACAACATAACGTGTTAGAGGAAGTAATTTGCTACGTTTTAGAAAAAGATTTATCAACTTTTTCTATATCAGGGTCCCACAATGTGAATTTATTTTATCGAAAAATCGCCGTTTTTGATGAAGCATTTCATAACTTTTGAGCAGCCCAGATATTATGTGCTGTAATGAATATGCCACCCCCTCCAGTGAGATTTCTTAGTTATTATACTGCAATCAGTGAATCATTAAAAAATGTCACAGAACGCAGTGTGAAATGTGCAGCATTGGAAGCAGTGGCTGAAAATAATAGCAACAAAGACATTGCTGCTACTTTTGATGCATCCTGGCAAAAGTGTGGCAGTTGTCAAGAGGACCACCAGGTAGCATTTCCGCGTACGCGCCTCCCACTACGCGCTCCAACGTCACTACCAACGGCCAGAATTGGGAAGGAATCAGGATAGGGGTAGGGTTTAAGACACTTCACACGGGCTGGACTAGCCCTTGAGAAGCAGCCAAACTCGTTTTGTTTGAACAAATTTCTCATGAGATTGTCTGGAAATCGACGGGAATCGCAGTGAAAGGCGAGCGACTTCACTTTGAGACGTCGAGCCAGCCTCGTTCAGACAGGTCTTTGGCCTCATTCGATTTTGGGAATCAAGGATCTACAGACAATGGATTCTGACTACACAGTCTGTTAGAGGAAGTAATTTACTAAATATATGAAAACCATTTAGTATCCACTTTTTCGTTCCCAGAGACTGGCAATAGAGATGTCCAGAACATGTGACCTAAAACATTCGTAGAATTAGCAAGTCTTTCAGCCATCGTGGAGAATTCCCAAATGGTCAATTTCGCCGAACTATTGTAAATTGTGCCGGTTGTAAACTAGACCTGACGAATAAATAGTATGATGTTTATAAAAACATGTCTAACTTCGTACACCACACAGGGAGCAAACGCAGTCTTCTTTTATTTTCTTCTCCATCCATGACAGTATGAGAATTTGTAATGCTGCTGTAAGAAGACGAGCTGTTTCCTGGACAAGTCACTGCCATTGCAATTGATTCGGCACCGGTAAATTTCTAGCAGAAATCCAAAGGCTTTTGGTTATGACTACTCATAGGGATGCTTTTTTTTTACAAAAATGAAGATTAATCCCGAAAATTCCAAACCCTGAGTTAAAATCAAAAAGAGGACTCTTCGCTATTGCAGAGCTAAAAATAATTTGGGGCAAACGATACGCTTCCTGGTATCATTACCAATGTCAAAATTGTTTACATAATAACTTTAAATGATTAAATAAAGTTTTAAACTTCGAAATACTTTGTTTCAGTCTTTGCCAAAAAGCAATCATGAAGAGGGGGGAACTGTGCCATGCATCGTCAAATGATGCGCTATTGGCTTAAATTCAACTCTTTCTATGAGGTGACTTTATGTCACATTTAAGTAACATTGTTTGTTCAAAAGCATTTATTTTAATAATTATCACCACATAAAATAGACAAAGGATGTTTTTTAAAACTCGTATACTGCTGTTACTTGGTTAATTATGAGAAAAATAAGCAAGTTATTTACTAAAATCTTCTCAAGTGGCAAAAAGCCACCGTGGTTTACGGTAACTGAATATTGATGATAATGGTCTCTAAGTTATATTACGTCATAACAACGATTCATTAAATATTAAATTTGAAAAAAAAAATCTATCAAAGTTTGGTAATTGTATTAGCATGTTAAATCAGAAAATTTACCTGATATACATACCTTACTGAGACATACTCTAAAGAAAATATTGACTAAAATACAATGAAATAACAGCTCATTTCGAAACATTCGGTCCCCAAATGATAATACCGCATGAGATATTTACAAAGTGGACATTACGTAGGAAAACATTGGACATTGAAGAATTAGATGCAAATATTACGACGTAAATATTAGGACTAAATGTTCGAGGCCGGAATAAACAATGAATATTGGACATTGAATATTCCTAGTAAACATAAACAGATTTTAGTATAGGCGTAAGCGTCAAGGTAAGATACGTAACTGTCGGGAAATTAATTGTAGCAAATGACAAAGTTACTTACAAAAAGCTAGAAGACAAACGAAAACTAACGCCTAATGTTTCATCAAAGACGTAATTTTGGCAGAAGATATCTGGTCGCCGTCGCGAGCAGAGAGAGAGCGAGAGAGAGAGAGAGCGAGAGAGAGAGCGAGAGAGAGAGAGATCGCGAGAGAGAGAGCGAGAGAGAGCGCGAGAGCGCTAGAGAGAGAGCGAGAGAGAGCGCGAGAGAGAGAGCGCGAGAGAGAGCGCGCGAGAGCGAGAGAGAGAGAGCGCGTAAGAGAGCGCGCGCGCGCGCGAGAGAGAGAGAGAGAGAGAGAGAGAGAGAAAGAGAGAGCGCGAGAGATAGAGCGAGAGAGAGCGAGCGAGAGAGAGAGCGAGAGCGAGAGCGAGAGCGAGAGCGAGAGCGAGAGAGAGAGAGAGAGAGAGAGAGAGAGAGAGAGAGAGAGAGAGAGAGAGAGAGTCGAAGTCGGACATACTTTCCCAAAGTTCTAATCCACAGAATTTTGGACCTCACTACAAAAATTCAAATATATCAGAATAATATGTAAAATATTAAATTACATTTTCGTTTAAGAAATTGGTACAAGTTACATTCAACTTTTATGTTTATAATGCTTCAACGAAATCTTGTGTGAAAAACTTGCGTTCTACATATTGAGGCTAGTACTCACTCAAATGATACATTATTGAGTGTTCCAAAACATACCTATGCAACTCAGTAAAAAGTATAACATAAAAATAATATAATAGGTAAATGCGAGTTAAGAAAAAAGTATGTAAATAATTGTATATACTTTTAGTAACTGTCTTGTGAAACAGTTGAGTATGATTATAATTTTTTCGGAGAATCGAGTTCCATGAATATTCGATCTTTGTCTAATTCTAACTTACGAAAAAAAGACAAAATGCGACTTTTCTATCATTATGCTTTTAAACTGTACAGCATTAGATTTGTACCATTTCATCATAAAGATTTTGAATAAAAATAGTGAACATAATGTGAAAAAGGTGGAGTGAACGCTCAAATAATTGACATCTGGCAACTATATATTATCGACGGCGATTACTGAGTTTTAAAATATCCGCCACGAATACGGTGTAAGGCAATTGACGCACATTGTGCCCACAATGCACAAGAGAACGGGTCTATCTCGCAGTATAAGAGCAAATAAAAGAGCCAAGAGTCATTTATACATATTGTCAGCACGGTGTAAAGCTATTTCTTACACCGTGATTGTCAGTCATCGTGTTGTGTTGTCAGAACATGGTACACCGTGTCTCAGTGCACTATCTGCCAGGATTGACAGATGTGATCAGTAAGATTGCTTCAGTCAGTCTGCTGTACAGGAGTAACCTGTACTTTATGGATGGCCTCGGCAGAGAACCTGATTGGTAATAATGGTCATTAATGCCCGTGTGACTCTAGACTGAACAAAATAAACTACTGTATTTTTTATGTTTTCATAGTGGTTTGAAAATGTCTAAGTGTAAAAACTCGTGATTTGTATAGTGTGTGATGGCTGAATGCGGCGAAATACTGGAAGGATTTTTATGCCCTATATGTAAAGCTGATTTAGGTTCAGAACACCAGCTACGAATTCACTTTCAAGATGAAGCCCACAAAGAGCATCAAGACGTATTTAAATCTCTTAAAGACGTCTTTGAAAAAGCGAAGAAAAAAATATTAAAAATCGACGATGAGGTTTATGTTCCTGAATTTAGTAGTAATGTCGTGCCCATCAGTGAACCACATTCCAGTACTTTGTTCAGATTTGAACCTCAAGAAATTGGAGAATTTCGATGCCACACCGCATATTTTCGAGAGCTGCGAAATAAGCGATTGGAACGATACACTGCGGAAACAAATAAGTTGTTAATCAGACTTGGAAAATTAATGTTAGATCTACCCGTTGATCCACTAAAGCGGAAAACACACGAACAAGCTATAGTACCATGGATTGATGATCGTGATGTGAAATTGTGCCCTAGTTGTGCCAGAAGTTTTAATATGATGAGAAGGAAACATCATTGTAGATTGTGTGGTGCTATAATGTGCCATGATTGCACACGTTTTCTGGAATTATCAGAAGCCAAAAAGATGATAAACATGAGTTTTGGTTCAGATGATGAGCCAAATGAAGGTGCAAGTACTAGCATTGTGAAGAACTTCCCTCCATTCAGACCTTTAGGTCGGTCAAGTTCAAACAACAGTTTAAATTCTGTTCTTTCCTTAGTTGATGCAAAAACTGGGGAGCAACATCTACGACTTTGCATACACTGCAAAGAATTGTTGGAAACACGAGAGAAGTTAAAAGAAACCAGAAACTTGAAGCCAATAATTAGCCAATTTTATGAGCGCTTGCAGCTTTATATAACTGAAGTTGACCAGTTATGCACACTGTACTGTAAAATGTGCCAGTCATTGAATTGTGGAGAAAAAACGCACACAGTAGTTGAGGCCCAAGAATTGCGCGGCAAAATTTTAACACTAGCTGGAAGCATAGACAACCTTAGTAAAAAAATAGCAATTTTGGGCACTAAAGATGTGGAAAATCCTCCCAAAGGGCGTACGCTTCAATTACAACAAAATATTAAGATAGCTACTAATTATTATTTGAAAGACAGAGTAATTGGATTACCATCTGTTCCCACTGAACTTGCTTTCAAATCTTTGCAAGAATCTAGAAGATAGTGAAATCTTCTCTGTTAATTTTATCAATATTACCATGTTAATTACAGAAATTAATCTTCATAAGTTTTGTCATGTATGCCCTTGTTATAAAAATGTTTTTTCACTTGAAAGTTCCAAAGTATTATATCATTTAATATCAAAAGTTGTCTGAACAATTATTTATGAACTTTTTGTACTCTTGATATTTTTTGTGTTGTAAGGTATTTATAATAAATTCCAGCAGATTGCACACTGATCATGTACATTCAAAATGTGAGTTTGTTTCACAAATTGTGGTGTCTTCACTATCACTGATATTAAGAGAAAGTGTATGGTAATAAATATTAAGTTACCTATAAAAGAGTAACTGTGTTGGCATTGTCTATATGTATTTTTTTTGTCAAGTCAATGCAAGATGGTTGCTATGTTTTCAAACTTCATGTCATTGTCATCTTCTTTACTACTATTAAAAACTGTATTTTGTCATTATATTAATATGGTTTACATCTGCAATAAGTCCTAAATTAATATTGTTCATTTGTAATTGCACTGGGAAAGTATTACTTTTGTAATCTCTGAAATGCAAGAAAATAGGTAAATAAATTGCCCTTTACTGCAAAGATATAGTATAATATAGTATTCACGAAATATGTTGAATATTTATATTTTTAATGCATATATTTTTATGTGCATTGAGGGAAGTTAAATAATCTTTAAAAGGTATTACCTAATTGGATGTTTAGCCCTTGTATTAATATTTATCAATCATATGTAATTATTTTCCTGAAATATATTTTATCCGATAATTAAAGGATACTTTTATTATTCCTCAGAGGTTTTGTTTGTTTTAAGTGCATGTTTTGGGGATGCATTGAATTTTATTAGTTTTTATTTTTTTGTTTTGTTTTCTTAAATGTTAAAATGTGATATTGTGTGGTAAAGGGAAGAATTTCATGAGGTAATAAAAAAAAAAAATTATAATTTTCAAAAACGTCTAAAAATGTTTTGAGATGCTGTTCTTTTTGTTGTCCAGTATTATCAATTGTAAAATTTTTCATATTCTGTATGAATGCTAAAATATATCTTGAAACCACATAAAATCAATATTTCTTTATTAATCATGGTTTTAAACTTCGAAAACGCAAAATTCGTTTTTTGCTACTTATAAATTGGACTGGTATATTGAGATCAATTATGGGGAAAAAATGCTAATTTAAAAATGATATAAATGTTTTTTGATAATAAGCACTAACATTTTTTTTAAGTTGAATTTTATTAGTGCTTCTGAAACTATTTGTGATTCTTTTCGTAGATTGTTCAGTACTTGCTTCAATAATAATGCAAAGACAATATTTTGTTTTGTAATCAAGAGGCATGTCAGGACATGATTCATGAGAAAGTAATACGGTATATGAACACAACTTTGTAATGAACGATTTTTTAAACTGTTGACTTATTTTGGAAACATTAAATTTAACTTTTCCTAACAGTGCTGTTTGGTATGGTGATTTTGGAGGAGTGCAATTTGAACACTATTTTTAGAACCTGCTGGCAAATTTATGAATATTTTGGACTATTTGCTGCTTAGCAGAGTTGTAAATTTACTTTTAATTTTGAACTTCCGATGTTACATAATGAAAAATAATATTATATTAAACTGATTCACAGTAATAGTAAATTATATGAATTCATGACAATTAATTTTCTTATTGCAAAATCAGAGTCTGTGCACTCACAAAAAATTCAATTGATAACTTAAAGTTGAGAATGAATTCCGTGTTAACTATTTTGTCAATAACCTGACAATGATAAATGACCTAACTCATCCAAAGGGTAAAGTAAATATGTTAGAATTAATTATAAAGCACAACTGTGCATTCTTCCATTATCATCATCAGAGGCAGTTTATTGGATTTTAACATATTAGTAGAGAGTTGTGAAATTGAGATTACAAATGGGTGATCATCATCTCTGTTGCTTGAAAATACAGAATCACTAAAATCACAGCTGAAAATATTTTACCTGATTTAGAATCCACATTTGTTTTGTTTATCTAAATTACTGTTAGTCTTAGAGGCAGAATTTTCATGCTCTTACATGTGTTAAAATATGCATGCAAACCTGCACAATATAATAACCAAACATGCAGTGTCAAATTTTAGTTCAGTATTTTTTTGTTTTGTGTCTTTTGTAACTGACAATTTTTCTAAATTTTAATGTCAAATTCATCCTTTTGTCAGAATCAAATGTTTTTGAATGCAGAAAATGCTTTCTACATCGTATGTTGTAATTAGAGTATACTTCAATGATGAAATCTCAGCCAATGTGAGGTTAGATTCTGCCCATTTTCTGATTTTCACCACAATCTGTGTTAATTTAAAAATCAGGAATTTAATTAAACATGATATAATTTCTCCTTAGCAGGCATGCACTTATCTTCAAACAGTAATTTTAGAGAAATTTTAATGTCTTCAACAATTTTTAATAACTCTACTAGCTGTGAACCTACTGTTCCTAATTTCTGAATTTGCTATGAGCCATTTTACTATATTTGATTTAATGGGCATATTTTTATATATATTGTTTCATACATTTATTTTTGCACACAAGAGTTAAGTGAGCCTCCATTCAATTATTTTCCCTCCCATAGTCGGGTATCAAGTGATTTCGGGTAATGAATTTCTTTCTTCATTATCCTTTGTGATTTAATTGCTTGGCATTATATCATTTTGTGATTGTTGCTCCCAGCATTCGCTTCTAGCAAACGCTTCCAAATTAACAATTGGTTAAAATATGTAGTACAATTAAAGACAACTGCATACTGCCAGGATCTAAGAATTATGTGCTATTTATACAAAATATGCATCAATTTTATTATACACAAACTATAGAAGTAATAAAAAAAGTACTTGATTTGCTTGATATAAGTCTATATATGCAGTATTAATTGAGAAAATATCCAAACCTGCATTATATACGAATTTCTCCAAATAAAATAAAATATGCATTTTTTAAAATAAGTTTGCCGTGAAAAATAGATATTTACAAACTGAGAGCTCTATAAATAACAATATGCATTTGCGTGGAAATCCTGCCTCTAGTTATTACAGATACAGTAGAATCTCACTAATCGAAAATATCCAATAATCCATACAAAACTCTGGATGGATGAAAAATAAACAAAATGCTTATTTGTAGTGTAATGAAAGACCTTTATAATTACTGTAGATTGGGACAACTAATTACTGAAACAAATTATCAAAATAAAAAATTTATTGGACTGGTAACTATGGTATACACTGCAGGTTTATATAACAGTAATTTTCACTTGGAGGATCTAGCAAAATCGGTTATTCTTTTGCCATAAGAAACTGAATATGCTTGAAGATGTAACGTGACATCATGCGATCGCTACACTATATTGCATTGTCTGGTACTCCTATAGATGTATTTGTGTACATTCGATACATTCTTTCAGTTAATCCAAACAGACCACACCCCCAATTAGTTTCGAATACTGGAGTTCTACTTTTAATGCAATACAAGTTACTTACTTGTCAGGACTCTACTCTACTAAGGTTTATAAGCAAGAAATGTGACTGCAGTGTACATTTTTATGTACAGAACACATTCAACTAAAACAAAACCTCTCTCTTGCTTTCTATGGGCCACCTAATATCATAGACAAAATTCCTCTATGTTAATATTATCACATGAAAATTGCTGAGTTTTCTGCTACGTAAAGATTGGAACGCAAATGTCAAGCGGGTTGCCGAATAAAGCAATTCCAACGGACAGTGATTCATAGTGATTGGCTAAATTTATTCACTGATATAAACCTCCCACTTCCTTTTCTGGCAGACACACAC